TGACATAATTGTGAATTTGTCCATTCAAACACAATACTTCACAGAGAGCTTAATATTTGCGTGCGTTCTGAGACGCGGGTTCACGCGCTTCGGGTGAGCGACCACACAGATCTTTTCACTGCGCGCGCGAGTTCACGTCTTCTGGCTCTTTAATATTATTAAATATTATAATATTAAGCAAGGCTTAAATGAGTTTAGTTTAAACACGGATAGCAACGTGTGCTGTTCAGGTCTCACCTGCGCTATCAACACGTGATGGCGGCATAAATGACAGTTATTCCAGCATAAAGCACTCGCATTGATTAAAGAGTGACTGGTTTGTCCGCGTATTGTTTTTTCTCTCTCTCTCATCGCTCTTGTTGTAATGTATTGGGAAGCCAGAATTTGTATCCATCAACAGAAACATGCATTAGCCGAACTCTTAACAAACCATATTACAGATGCATTGTCAGATTTAAGTTGAACCGCGGTCCTAGCGAATGCCGAACCGTGTGTGGAGAACAGTACGGTTCGATTTTTTTACCGAGAACCGTTGCACCCCTAACCTATACGTAAAACATTTTTGTGCCAATACTTTTTTTTAAATATAGTAAAAAAAATAAGCACTTTCACACTTTTTTATGCAATATTTACTATAAATCATTGAAAATGTTTTTTTTTTAATTGATTGATTGATTGATTACTTAAATAATAAGGTATCTGTTCTACTGGGATTTTGTCTTTTAGACAAGTTCTCACACTAAAAGTTGATGCAAGGGATTAAAAGTGAATCAAATGACTGTAAAAAAGTTTTAAAGAAAAAGAAGCAAATGAAAAACCAGAGAACAGGACACAGAGACGTGACTGAGGATGTGGGAAAAGTGCACACCTGTAGACCAGTGGAATAATTCATGGGACATTGTTCATTATACTGGTTGACCAAATCGCAAGATGGCTTCTGTTGTCTGTCATATTGAGTGATCAGAATAAAAAGAAGCCACAACCTTCAACATAGCACCAGATAAGCCTAAAAGCAAGAGAATTTCTTCTGATATCAATGTCACATAGAAAGTACCAAGAGCTACAATATTTACAGAAAAAAACGATGGTAAATTTACAACCCAGTCCATCAACGTGACAAATAATGATTATTTGTAGCATTACTGCACACACACTCTCCCTGCCAACCTTTCATGCTGGATAACCACAGTTCTGATGTTATAAGTGATTGAAAATTTTGAGAACAGAACAGTCACCCAGTGAATTCTATTTATTTTTTCTTTCTTTAAAAACCTGAATAAATCCATTCATCAGTATGAAGAGATGAAGCTGTTTGGATGTTTGGAATGAGTCATTGTTGGAAAAACTGGTTAAAGCTCCCAGAGGACTATGGGCCCTGTGGTCAATCCATACCTATTCATTTGTCATCAATAAAGTCGGCATTAAATAAAAATTTACCCTATTGGCTTTTTCAATGCACATTCCAAGTAATATTGCATTTGATCATTCATCAGTGTATAACATTTTGAATAAAATAAAGTTATTTTATCAAAATGTAATGTAAAATGCTCAGCCTGTGAAATTGCTTCCCTTATGAATGACTCCTGCTCTTTCAACCACCCACTGTAGCTCTATTCTGCTATATAATTGACTTTTATTTTTGAAATTCTAATCCCACCCCACATTTTTTTATTACTGAATATCCACTTTCACTCAAAAGTAGGGCTGCAACTAACGATTATTTTGATAATCGATTAGTTGGTAGATAATTTTTTCGATTAATCGGATTAAAAAGTGAAAAAAATACTGTATGTCAGATTTCAGAATGTAAAATATATTGGCATATATCAGCCATTTCTTCATATCGGCACTGGCTATTGGCTATATAGGTCAACCACTATTACAGAGGTTGAAAAAAAATAATTACATTTTGATTAAAAAAATTTTTTTCTTTAGGATAATGTGCCCTGGCACGTCAAGCATGGGGTCAGTTTTGATTTCATGACTGAACACTTTCCATACGGAGGGATTTTGTGGTTGGCTTCTCCAAATGGTTACTGGTAAATGACTTTTGGGTAGTATGAAATTGTGCATCAGATACACAAGCTGCAATTTTAGAGCTGACATTATCTACAGTCATTAAGCGCGTCTTTATTTATTCAGATTGGGGCTAATTAGCATGGCGACTTCAGCACACGTGCTAATATGACATTCAAGGCACAATAATAGCATGGCATTATTTCCTGTCTAGGCTCTCCTATCGTAAGGCCAAACTAATTATCTCAGCTGAAATGTCCCTCCTGTGTGACTGAAAGCTTAAATACTCTGTCCACCCATGATATATCTCACAAACAAAAGCTTCTTTTGGACCATAAATCTACTGGACTCACTTAATGTGATTTTGGGCTTCAAATGGAAATGCTGGTCAGTTGAGCTCGGATCACTATTATTGATCCTCTAACCTCCATCACTGACCTTTTACTCTCAAATGGAGACCTCGATTTTGATGAAAGGATGATATGAATAGAGGATTCATCCAGCATTAAAGTCATTCTGTATCTCACAAGCTCTTCACTGCTCTGCCTTTGCAATCTATATCATTTATTTCATCCAGTCTCACATGTAAATAATTCATCCTGGAAGACAGAAACTGCCATGAAAAGTTTGTTTCTCTTTCTAATAGAAAGTCCCAAAGAAACAGTCCTCGTTCTCCCTCTCTCCCGTCTCCGTTCTCTCTGAATCCTTTGCTGTTTTCTATGGAAATAACTGAATGCTGCAGAGCTAATGCTGAGAGAATGGATTTAATTCATTAAAAATAGGTTTTTGTCTACATTTTATTGTATTTGACATATTACTACGGAAAAACAACATACTGTAATGTGTTCTGTGACTGTATGCAGCCAATATCCACTTAGTCTCTCTTTCTCATTGGCCTGTGCCCAGATATAGTGTTTTGGGCAAGTGCCCAATTCGTACTACAAAAGCATCGAATCTCTGGAGCATGACTAACAAAATCCCTTAATTCAAACCAAGTGTTCCTCCATTCCCTCAGGAACACAAAGAGGAAAGACAGAGAAAATCCTGTGATCCTAAGAAAACACAACAGCTCCTTCCTCTCATTAAACAACAGAAATTGACAGATGTATTGACAGATATAATGACATCAGAGACAGGTGGCCGACACAATCCTAACCTGACTTCTGCAGGTGTCACCAATACAAAATCAAATATTTAATGAAAATAGCAAATGAGTATCAAATAACACTGATGCTTAAATAAATATATAAAAAGTAGTGATAGACCACGTCCACAATGATTTTAAAACAAATCACATGGATAGAAAAGTATGTTTGTACTCTCATTCATAACACTGCTTAAACGTGCTAACATGTCATACACATTCGCACGAAGTGCACACGAAGCATTTAATGCATTGCATGCAAGCACTGTCTAATTATTTTCATGCAAAGAAATGTGAAGCATTACTGAAACTGCATGCATTTATTTTAATTCATGTATGTTAGAAGGTCATATTTGTGTATTTCTGAGAGACTACTATATACTGTCAAAGGTATGCACTTTAGTAAATATTACATGTTCTTCCCCAGTTTCCTAATTTGAAAACGACTACTACAAATGTAACATTATTATGTTAATACTTTAAAATTTGAAATACCTATGAATTACTCTTTAAAAAAGTCTGGGCACCCCTCAAATTTCTTTTTGCCTAATTTGGCCATGAAAAGAAAATAGTTGAAGGGCTCTTTCAATATAAATTAAAATGTATATATGGGCATTATAGCTCAGCATATCTACTCTACATGTTTAAAGCCCATACCAATAAAACTTTTAAAACTGGGGTAGTCAACAGTGGATCTGTAGTGTAACAGCTCGCAGAGGATTTGGCTGCTCTGACTAGATAAATTTTATAAGCACCTAATCAATACAATCTATGCACAGGATCAATATTCCAGATCCACTCAGAGGATCTACAGCAGAAACCCAAATGTGACTGCGTTTGATCCCTGGGACTGGCAGTGCCCTATAGACACACTAAGTGGCTTTAGTTTAGCCAGAAAATTTTGATTCACTTTTGGTCTGTTTTAGGGATGCACCGAATGTTCGGCAACCGAAATTATTCGTCCGAAAATAGCAAAAAAAGCTCTTTAATAAGCGAAAAGACCAAATAAATTGTACCGAACAGAGACGTGACGCAATCAAATAGAGGCGCGCGCTAATGCAGCAACCATGATGGCAGTGTGGAAACATTTAAAGCTGTCTGAGAAAGACGCAAAAATCATTACAAGCAACGACAGCGAGAGACTGTTTAGTACTGCATCGCATGTCTTTTTGATTAGAAGAGGAAGGGTGGTTGTTGCTGGTTACTGTATGATGATTAAAATCGCGAAATGCCCTTAAACAATTTCCTGCGGGTTTCTGCCAAAATAAAAGTTGAGAAAAAGCAAGAACTCCATCAACATTAATAAATGTTATTGTAATTTTACTGTTGTTCTGTAAAATAAAAGAAAATAATAATTAAAACAGCTCTATTAATACATTTATTGTAACATTTACACATAGTGTTCAGACCTATAATATTTATAAGGATCTATAATATTTTCTAATGTTTTAAAATAAGTATTTTCTGCTCACCAAGGCTGCATTTATTTGTACAGTAAAAAATACATGCCTGATTTCAGAAGGGGGTCTAAAAAATGGCCCAAAAATATAATAATAATAAATATAATAACTTATTAATTTTAAGTTAAGTTGTGTTTTATTGGGATAATGTCTGCTAGAATGTTAAAAAAATGTTCAGTGTTAAGTAAATATTTGTAAATTGTTGTTTTGTAAATGATTTTTTCTTTGAAAAGCAAGACAAACCAGTAAAAAGCACATTTTGGCTATTTAGTTTATGCAATGGTGAAAAAATTGGCAAAATGGGGAGGTGGGGGGGAACGTGAAAAAACGTGTTCAGTATTCGGCCCAGTGTTTTCATTTTGTTCGGCTTCAGCTTCGGCCAAGAATTTTCATTTCAGTGCATCCCTAGTCTGTTTCAAACTAAAAGTTATTATATGGCTTTAGAAGCTTTGGGAGACACTACATATGTAGTACACAAAACTGTTTTGATAGTTTTATGGGACTTTTTGGCAGCCTGACAGTGACTTGAAATCAAGGTTCATTCAAATAAGCAGAGCGGCTCAGACATTCTGCAACATGTTTCCTTTTGTGTTTCTCAGAAGAAAAAACTCTTCAAAGATATTACAGTGAGTAAATGATTACATAATTTTCATTTTGGGTGAACTATGCCTTGCTAAACATATTTTTAAAAAATATATATATATTTTTTTGTTCCCGTCTCTCACCTTCCATGACGTAGACGAGGGAGCCCACATCCCCTTCTTTAATAATACAGCTGTTTTTGTCATTGTCCACTGGATACATACAGTCCACTATCTCCTGGATCTGAGACATCTCCAGATTCTTCATGAAGTCATTGTCCAGAATAGCTGACTTGATCAGTTCCTTTGACCTGTACAGTGCAGGAAAACATTGTTAAATAGGCCCACATCATTTAATTAACACAGATAATAATGACTATGCCTGAAATAGAAACTTGCTGCTTACTGCTCAGAATACACTAAATACAACTATTTAAAAACTTGTTTGTGAAACAAAATGCATTATGCAACTATAAACATTTCAAACAGTATCATAGTACAATATGACCTTATAACCTCATTATGATTATGTGCGAATTTAATTCCATGAGTAGAGTCCACATCATTTTTAATCTTAACTTTTGGCAATTCAATCAAACTATGAGTAGAAAAAATAGTAAAAATAACAGCTGATACTATTAATATTGTTATGCATGGCTGGCAGTTTCATTCATCACAAGAAATTGGAAGGTAATGCAAACACATTGTGGGATAGAGGATCCAATGCACTGTACTTTGTTGTACACATTTTGGCAAATGTTGTGCATCATCTAGGTATTACAATTTGCACACTATGCATACTATATACACATTGTCGAAACAGTAAGAACTGCATGACAGTATGGAAATCCAAATAATGTGATGCTTCAGGAATGAATCCACAAGGAATGTGTGTTTAAAAAAAAGATGAAGAGGGTATTTCAAGAGATGAAAGTAAATACACAAAATCTCTTAGTTGGCGCTGGACGTCATAGTAAACAAAAATCAGAATACTAGCTGAAAATGAGGTTTGCATCACAGACATACACAAATACACACATTTCAAGTAATTAAAATTCAATATAACCTCCCACACAGGGACTCGGTAATGAACATTTTCTGAAATGCACCTCATAGCAAAATATTTCCAAAGATTATTCTGTGAAATATCAGATGTTCTCTATTTTTTCATGAAAAAATACTTCAGTAATGTTCAGAGACTGAGTTATGAAGAGTGTAAACACTGTGCCTCTCAAAACACTGCTTTGATTGTCAGACAGAACTTCTTGCACAACCATTTTGAAGTGGATCTGTTTGACTGAAAAATGGAAGACGGATTTGTATATTGAAAACCTGCTTAGAGAGTCATTATGCAATTCAAGTCATTATTTATGCAAATCCATTTAGTTCTGCTAATGACATTTAATTGCTCAAGTGCTAGTGGATGGAAACACCTGGACTGATGTGGTAGAATATGTTCTTTAAATCTGATTATCGCTGTTTATATGACAATTCCGAGCACTCCTCAACAAAAAGCCTATCATCGTGACAGCAGCTCCTCTGTTTCTGTGGAGCTGGACTTAAGCCAGACTTCTGATTTATTTGCAAAAACCCACAAACGCTCACCTATGAACCACACTGTGTTTACATTCCACAGACATGCTCCGCCGCGAGCAAAAACAGACCTTTTTTTTTCAAGATGTCTGCAGTACTTCACGTAGAACTCCTTTCATTTGGCTCACGCACGGACAGTCTCACCCTGAGGAAAATTGTATTGACTTAAAGATATAAAAATAGAAACAAATGAGACAACTGTTGACATACATTACAATAAAATTAAAGAGCAATGAAATAAAAGTGAATAGCACTGCTCAGTTGATTTGGTGTAACTGGAATCTGATCTGATCTGGAATCTGATATTTGAGATCATATTGAGATTAGTAGGGTCTTGAGGAGAAATATTTAAGCAGCAAGACATTTCAGCAAACATCTTAATTTGTTTTCAGTATAAAGGAATAGTTAACCCAAAAATTAAAATGTACTCACCCCCTCGGCCATGTAAGATGCAGATGAGTTTGTTTCTTCATCGGAACAGGTTTGGAGAAATGACTTGCTCACCATGGGTCCTCTGCAGTGAATGGGTGCCGTCAGACTGACAGTTCAAACAGCATAAAAACATCACAAAATCCACAAATAATCCACAAGACTCCAGTCCATCAATTAACATCTTGTGAAGCGAAAAGATGTTTGTTAGAAATAAATACATCATTAAGCCATTTGAACTTTAAACGGTCGCTTCTGGCCAAAATAAAAGTTCTCTATCCATAATAATACTCTTTCCAGTAAAAAATAAATAATTCATATCAAAATCCACAACATGTTGAGATCTGTTTTGGACTGTTTTCACTTGTAAATGGCACTTGATCTGTGCATATTTCTCTCCTGATTCAGACTTTTTTCACTGGAGAAAGCAATATTTTGGAGAGTGGACTCATATTTTAATTAGAAACAACGATTTAAACTTAAGAATACCTTAATAATGGATATTTCTTACAAACACACAGCTTTCCTCTTTATAAGACACAAATTGATGGACTGGAGTCAGGTGAATTAAATGTGGATTATTGTGATGTTTTTATCAGCTGTTTGGATTCTCATTCTGATGGCACCCATTCACCGCAGGTAATCTATTGGTGAGCAAGTAATTTCTCCAAACCTGTTCCAATGAAGAAACAAACTCATCTGCATCTTGGATGGCCTAGGGGTGAGTAGGGATATGCCGGTATCAAATTTTCATGTTGCGATTAATTGCTAATGCTTTTATCACGGTATGCGGTATTATCACGATATTGACATTTAGTTTAAAAAAGTGCTGTCATAATACAGTATGACAGGTTTAATAACATTTTTCTGAAGTCTAGGGGTGAGTACATTTTAATTTTTGGGTTAACTATTCCTTTATATTGAAAACAAATTAAGATGTTTGCTGATGTTTGATTTAATGCTAAATTTCTCCAAATCTGTTCTGATGAAGAAACAAACTCATCTACATCTTGGATGGCCTTGGGATGAGTACATTTTAAATTTAAATTCACATACATTTTAATTTTTTGTAGCTATCAAAACATAAACCGACATGCACACAATAAATAAGCCACCTGAAGGTCCATAAAGGTGTTTACGTGCAGAGCAAAATCAGAGTAATCTCTGCAAGACTTGGTGGTATTATTGTATGGCAGTCTGAATTCTAGAGGACATTGGCTCTCTGGGGGAACAGTCTGGGGAGATGTTTTACATCCAGTAAAAGCACAGAGATCACTGGCCTCATTTACAGCAGACAACCTCGGGATCATCCTGTAACCAGTCTCTGTTTGACTTAGAATTTTACTCACTGCCTTTTTCAGGAGGACATTCACATCACACAGGTCGACAGACTGTCTCCCTTAAAAGGACAAAGTATGCTACGGCTTAAAGCAGAGTAAATTGGAGAAAGCTGTGGACATGGAGCCACAATGGCTGAACGTCTGCAAGAAAGTTTCTTAGGCCTTTTGTTTGTCTTGCAACATTTTTCGTCAAGGGAATATAATTTAAAATACTTTAACCGACTCGAGCTGAATAATGCCACTTTTGTCTTCTGTAGAGCTGCTTATAGCTGAACTAAACTTTTATAATTTCATAATTAAAGTTTACATTTATTGAATTGAACAGAACTATAAACACTCGAGCTGAATAATGACACTATCGTTTTGTTAGAGCGGCTTTACAGCAGAATTTGAATTTGTCTCATATTTGATGGTTTGCCTTAAATGATTCTGTTATTTTTCTGTTTATTACTGTGAAGCTGTTTTGAAACAATCTGTACTGTACAGTATAAAGTTTCTCTGAGACTGGTGGGTCTGTATTGATTCACATACCCTGGCCTCACTGCACGATCACTCTGGCCTCATTGGAAAGACATCGGTAGCTTTGTGGTCATCTGTAGATGTGTGTGCTAATGAGTTAATGGCTCTATCTTCCTCTATTCTCTGTTCTGTACATTTTCAGTGCAGAGTGCTAAAACAGGAAGCAAAGACTCACTGCATATAGCAGCTCATACTGCACATGACATTGCATAATAGCCTGAGACAAATGAATGACCAAGTTGATTTATTTCTATACATTTAGGCTTACTCTGCAGAATGAAGCCACAAATAATCTTTCCCTTATTTTTTGCATTGCAGATATAAAAATGGTGATGCTTATGCCTGTAAGTGCATTGTTGTGGTTGCTTTTAGCCATATTCTGACTCAGTGGAATAGAATAGAATCTATATTTGAACCCACACAACTGAACAAATAGTTTCTGCAACTTTTGTACAAAGTTGCCATTGAACAGCCGTGAACTTGATATAGGGACAGTCAACCTGAATCAGTCTGGTTAAGTTAGACCACTCTGCAGGCATATTGACATTTTGTTTCTGTAATAGGTATACAAATACTAAAACGAGAATTAAATCTATTAAAAATCAGTTTTGATTATTGAATAAAATATAAATATTAGATTAAAAAGCTGAACTAACTGAAATAAGTTTAAATTTAAATACTAAAATTACTTAAAACTGAAATTAAATAAATTATTCAAGCTATATAGAAATATTTGACAAACTAATAAAATGACAATAAAAACAGCATTATTAACGATTAAAATAGAATTTAAATGAAAATTGAAAATATAAAAATTAAAGGAATTACAAAATATTAAAGGGGTCATATGATGCTGCTAAAAAGAACATTATTTTGTGTATTTGGTGTAATGAAATGTGTTTATGTGGTTTAAGTGAGGCGGCGGGCAAGCGTGAGCAGAGGCAGGCCAGCGTGAGCTGAGGCGGCGGGCAAGCGTGAGCTGAGGCGGCGGGCAAGCGTGAGCTGAGGCGGCGGGCAAGCGTGAGCTGAGGCGGCGGGCAAGCGTGAGCTGAGGCGGCGGGCAAGCGTGAGCTGAGGCGGCGGGCAAGCGTGAGCTGAGGCGGCGGGCAAGCGTGAGCTGAGCAGCACTAAGTTGATGTATTCCCTCAGCGACCAGCACAGATCAGCTCTAGGCATGACGAAGCGGATATCGTCCTCTTTTGGAAGACCAAACAAAGTAGTTTCGCTTTCACAACGAAGCACACAGCGTCTTCACGACATGGCGGCAGCAACAATACTACAGCGAGAATAAAAGTTACGCCTTCTTTCTTTGCGTGAACATTTGGGCAGTGTTATGCAAATCTTCCCACATAGTGACGTAGATATGTGGGGGCGTGTTAGAACGAGCCGTTTTAGGTAGGTGTGGTTAACTCTTAACTTTTATAAAGAATATCTCTTTGGATTTGAGACTGTAGTCTTTGCAACTTTACAGATCTTCTTTATGCACCAGGAGCTTGTAACACTCCAAAGAGAAAGGAAAAATTGAAATCGCATCATATGACCCCTTTAATAAACACTGTAATCATATCTGTTTTAAAGGGGAAACTGTTGAGTAAGCTTATGATTTAATAACAAATTTTAAAATGCTAACAAAATCTGACAAAATGGTAACAGAGCCACTGTGTAGCTATTTTTAATGTCCATGCACAACAAGACAAAGCAGTGTCTTTACCAATAAGCCAGTCGGTTTTACTTGAAAAATAAACTTCCTTTCTTACAGCTGACATATTGAACCATTTCTACCATTCATTTTCTACAGGCTCATGGCTCACTCCTTGTGAAGATCCAACCTGCAACCTTGCAGCTTTAACCAGTAAGAAACATGACAAAGTTTTCAGATGTGTGATGAATTCTCATATCCAAAGGACAAAGGGTCCAAGACATTCCTATTTCAGCGCAGAACTTCTGAGTTCTGATATTTCAAAAGACCTCAGACAGTCCAGGTGTCAAAGATGAGTTCAGAAGAGACATTTCAATCAAGACTTCAAAAAAACAAAACAAATCTGGTCTTTCATTTTAAGTGTAACAAGTGCCACTGCAAAGGTAACTGCAAAAAAGAATCAGAAACAGGAAGAAACAAGATGCAATTATGAGACAGAGACATGGTGAGTGACATTCAAATGGCAAAAACACACTCCACTGAAAGAAAAGAAAGGGGTACGTCACTCACTATTATGAATTTTGCCGAAAGCACAGTATTTGCCTTTACTTCGAAGAAAAAAAAGAAAGCAACAGAACAGTGAATACATTAATGCATCAGCAAAGAAAGACACTAGGAATAAAGATAAATGGATTTTCATCCAAAAATAACAGTCATCTCTCTGACCACACACAAAGATTTAGAATCCTCTTCCAACACATTATGAGCTTTCAAAGAGTAAACCAATAATTGATGCCAGTTTGTTCCCATCTGGCAGCCCAACACTGAAGCTTTTTTCATTTAAATCGTTATAATCATTCCTTAAAGTGCTGATCAGCTCAAGATGCAAGCAGAACAGAAGAAAAGACTCTGCTGCGATAGGGTTCAGAGGGTTTTCCTGTACAAAACAAGGTTACGTTGTAAATTAGTAGTGTTGAGCTGTCAAATGTCAGATGCACAGCAGATGGGGGAGGCCATTAAACAGAAGAGTGATATTCCTCTGCTGCTAAACCACTAGATGCAAATTAATTAAGGGTATGTGTGTTCATGACAGCAGGCTGAAACACAAAAATCCTTCACTTCCAGGGGAACTGTGTAGTCTGATCAGATCCTCTGGTCTTGACAGTGTCTATTTCAATTGAAACACAACACGACACACTATTGTGTGCATAATAACAGCTGAGCATGTAAATAGCTTTCATGATCCACCTGCTGCACGATATCACGCTGCTTTGATAAGCAAATTACCAGTCCGTTAAACAAAGCAGTTATTATAGTCTTTGGGTATTTCCCACGTCACTGCTTCTATAACTGCTCAGTACGGACACATTATTCCTGGTTCAGATGTTTCCTTGTGGAAAATCAAACTTTCTTGGAGCGTCATCAATGAGACGCTTCTGCAAATGTTAATGAATGGCATTTTGAACAGAGTATAATGAGTTTGTCTCTGTGAGTTTTCAGATTTCAAGTGTGCAACCTGCACAGCCCATGATACTGCTGTCCCTTTCAAGAAAGTTACTATGGTAACCATTGCCAAAATGCCACAGTTAGGATGAAAAATTGTGTAAAAATAACATATTTACAAGTTACTATTTTAGCTAAACCTAAAGTCATTTTATGGATGATGTTTTGAAGAACAGCAGGTGAATTCAGTAAAGTTTAAAGTATGCATTCTGTTCTTGTCCACAATATTTATGCAAAAAGCAGTGTGTCAAATCAGTATACAGTGTCCAAATACACAGTATGACACACTAGGCAAATATTTGGTGTACTGAGGCATCTTCTGAAGTTAAGCTTCTTGTCTCCTTGTAGGGATCCATCCATGTTACAGGGTTTAAGCTAACCTTGGGTTCTGTGGGAATGGATCTTGTCAGATTCAAAAGTTGAAAAACAAAAAAATATATATAAAAGAAAATTGGTAACTGTGAGCTGGGCGGCTTTTATTTAAGTGCAAGAAAGTTGTTTCTCATCGATTGTTGCTGTTAGTATGCTACTTTTATGGTTAGATGTATTTATAGAGCTTTATGTGGTGTTTAATGACTTTAATTCCTCAAACAACACACTGAACGTTTTAAAGACAGCATAACGTGGTGATGACTCCACTTTGTAGCCTATTAAAGTTTAGGTAGCATTTAGGTAGTGAGTTTCAGGTAGTATTTGATGCTTTTATTGACGCATTCGATGGCTTAAATGTAACATTTGATTACTTTTATGTCGTATGTAATGATGTTGATGTTAAATTGTATCGAGTTAACCTACTTGGCACTCTTGGGGACGTTGGGCAGGGTCACGTGACTCAGCTGCTGGACGTTGGCGGGTTCGGCGCTGATCGCCTGTCGTTTGGTGCGCTGATGCTCCTGCAGCTCCGAGCGGCTCTGGACCTGTTGGGTCGCCGGGCGGATCACGGAGCGGTACTTATCCAGTTCGTTCTGCAGTTTTTGAATGAGTTCGTCTTTCTGGTCCAGTTCGAGCTCCAGTTCGTCAATGAGCGCGTCTCTCTGTCTCAGTTCTTCAATTTTCTCCTGAAGCGCGTACTGGAGGTCGCGTAAAGTCCCCATCATCATCCCTTCCGAGCCGAATAAAGCCACTTTTAGCAAGTTTACTTAGAGAAGAAACACCGTGCACTAAACCAGCTTCTATTCTAGTCTAAAAGGACCGACAAAACGAGAAGAACCTGTGGAGAGGGAAAAAGTCTCGCAGTGTATCCGTGTAAAAAAAGAAAAAGGAAAGAGGCAGCGCTCAATCCCACAGAGCCGCTGGAATCTTCACAGCTCTGACAGGAGCGCATCCGTGTGAGCGCGCGTCGCTCGTGGGCAGTGACGTGATGAATGAGTGGAGCTCGCTCGCTCGCGCGCGTCACAGAAGAGCGCGGGATTCCTGGACAGTCAGTATACAGAGGTTCAGCTCTGCACAGCTGATAACTGCTCAACTTTTGAGACAAACACTTTACAGTAATCCAGAACTAGGCTATATAAAATACCCAGTTTTCTAGCAGTTACATGTTGGTTGAAAACACCTACAGCTAAATCATTGTAAAAGTTTTTAAATTCCTTGTTTTATTGTTGTGATTATTTTTTTATGATTATTTTACTTCCTTTTATGTAAAGCACTTTGAATTACCTTTGTGTATGAAATGTGCTATATAAATAAACTTGCCTTGCCTTACAGCAGTTAAAAGCTGAATTATCCCTAAGCCTGGAGATATGAGGTCATGGAAGTCAAAGAAATTCCAAACTAAAATTCCAAACCAAATCCTAAAATTCCATTTTTATTTGTACTATAACTGTTGGTTAAACAAACTAACATACTACCAAACATTAATGCAAAAGTCAACTATATAGGCAGAAAGGCTTTTCTGAGGACAAGACCAGGTGAGTTGTCATATGTGTTATATGGCACATATATATGAAGAGTTCATTTGCAAAAACCGATAACTCATTCCAAGTAATATCAATCAAACTGCAGTTGGGTTGTTTTGATTAGGTAATAATAACTTAAACAAATACAGGTAATTTACAAAATTAAAGTTCATTGAAAGTATTTTCTTTTTACATATTAAAGGGGTCATATGATGCGATTTCAATTTTTCCTTTCTCTCCGTTCTCTAGCCCGCCGGCCTCCGCTCACTCTAGGCCGCCGGCCTCCGCTTAACTATATATATATATATATATATATAGGCCTATATATGGTATTAATTACCATTTCTGTTGGTCAAATAATAATTTAAAATGTGTCTGTCACCACAGACACCTTGTTGAAGAACCCTAGTTTTACGGTTTACAAAAAGCCTTGTTTAATGACAGGTTTCATTTGGACAACTTACCCTAAATAATGTGGCTACATTGTGATATTTACCATGTTAAATGAACTGCATTCCTAAAAAGGTCATTTATTAGTATTACATGTAGAAACTTTAACATCCATGGAATCTTTCCATTGGACAACAGGTGGAAAAAGGTTTTTACATTAATAAAATTTTATTCACATTAAGACAAAAGTGGTTAGTTTAAGAACTGTTCACTGACAGCTTCTTTAAAGAACCCAAATGGTTCTTCTATGGCATCACTCCAAAAAAAAAAAAAAAACATGTTTGAAACCTTTATTTTATTAATGGGCAGTAATGACTGGAATTGATCAATTGCTAAGACTTGAAGTATGTGTTTACACAGATGTTGCCTTTAAAAGTAAACCTGCCTGAGAAATATTCATTCATTAGAATAAAATGTGGGACAATTAGCCCCAGTCACCTCTAATATTCACTGACACTGCTTAAATAGTTTGACTTACCTCCACTGTGGAGAACTAATAGAGACGCATCATGCTTGATTTTGTTTTTAAGTTTATAAAAGGACATAAGGCGCCCTCTGGTGTCAGACTATGAAAGACACACAGAAACAATGAAATGATGTTAGGGCTGGGCTACTATAGTGACAAGCAGGACAAATGTATGTGTTAAACTTCACAGTCCTGCCTAAGAAAAATGATATCTGTGCATGGACACTCTATCTATTCTTTATATAGCCTATAAACTAAATGATAATAATACTCTCTCAAAAAACAGAAGACTATCTACACACCATTGAGAATCTAACTCTGGTCTGGATGAATTTTCTGAGCCTGCAATGTTCTCTTTGCCAGCTTTAGCTGAATAATAAATGAAAAACTAGTGTGGACAGAACTTAAAGGGGTCATATGATGCGATTTCAAGTTTTCCTTTCTCTTCGGAGAGTTACAAGCTGATTGTGAACAAACCCCCATCTTTGGTATCTGAAACTGAAACGGCTTGTGAAAGAAGGCCCACAACAGCACCCAGATGTCTACCATTCTTTGGATAGTTATAAAAGACAAAAATAACACACAAAGAACAATTCATCTAAACAATGCCTGAAAATAACAAACGAGGAATGCAAGATTATTTCTTCTTTCTGCTGTTCATTTCCATCACTTCCTCGCTGTCACTGTCCTTGAAAGGACCTCTCCCAGAAAAACAGGCTTTAAATTTCACCTCTATAAACTCTTCCTGCAGGGTTCTTCCTCTGTGGATCGATGGAAAGAGGATCTGTTGTAACATGACTAGTGTGGCTGCTCTTTTTGCCACAGACTCCGCCATTTTGTCTCTTTGAGACCCTTACAAGTGCACCAGCTCTTTTTTTAGATGACAACAAGATCTCACATTCAACGATAATTCCAGCACAAATCTTGAGAAGACAAAATCTTGACTATTCCTTAATTAAGTAACACTGTTCACTGGGAATTGTCCTCTGAAAATACATGTTACATTAAAGAAAGTGTCATTAACTCGTGTTGTGGATTATAAATTGTGATACAGTATTTCTCCATCACTAACAAGGTGCTAAAAGTAGGATTCTCATTGTAATTATTGTCATTAGTAGAAAAACCCAGTCAGATGATGCATCATAAGGCAAAGTTTGTTTATCAGCATATGGTCTCAGCGCTCATTAAGCTACAAACAGCTTTTATCCCTCTGCTTCTTCTATAATGAAATCATTAAGGTAGGAGTCTTAATCTGTCTTCATACTAACTTCACACCAGCACAAATACATAATTGCACATGCTATGCGCTCCAAGGGTGATCATTCCTAAAAACGCAATTATGAAGACTATTAGGTTCTATTGGTTATTAGTGATGTGATGGCCCTTAAGTTATGGAGGAAAACAACAACAAAAGAGCTTCTGCCCTCTTGTGGGCATTGCTGCATGCAAATCAAATGTGAGGTGATGCTGAGTGACCATGATTTCACCAAGTACAACATGTTCCTGGATCAACATCCTTGTTGATCCTGGAACAACATTCCAATTAACCAATCAGAATTGAGGGATAACTTTTCAGGAAATATCTGTTTTAGGCTTACCATCAGGGTTAGGTGCTTCTATACCCTTGGTAATCAGCTATCATTTCACACTGATTTTAGGAATAAATTATGGGTAGGGATTGGG